ACAATATAAAGCTCATGCAATTCTCATACTTTAACCCTTTAGTATTGTGTTGAGCATAAGGGACGTTTTCACTAAAATTGCATAGTTTTCCGGACTCGATATTCACTACGTTATACATGCAAACTATAATCAGTATAGTTTGGGATTTTCTAAACATAACAAGTACATAAACTCTCACTACTAAACATATGCACTAAGACAGAAACAGTTTACAGTTTATATCTCTACTTTATCATGGTATTCATAACTATAATTATCACTACATAAGGTATACATACGGATTTTCACTATGGTAGAACGCTAATACACTACATGTAAACTAGATTGTACGATACTGTGAGACGCTACTTCAATACTGTACCCTTAGGTGTACATGGATAAATCCTATCATAGTATAACCAGAGTCTCCTGGAGGGAGAGCGTGAGATTTGTGAATAGATCTATTCGGGACTGACAATCCCACACCCTAACTGCTAGCTACAGTTGGGCAGGCATGCCTAGGGTGACAAATGTCATTTAACTCGACGCCTGAAGAACGTTGGAAAGGTCTCTAGTCATATCAAGTATGGTTATACGACTCACAATATGTATAAATCACTCTTGGTTTACAAACTGTCATTCTTCAAACAGTTTTATTTTACTAAATAGAACTAATACACACTACAACTAGAGAATTTCCAGGGTTTTCAAACAGAATCGATCATACAATGGTTTCACGTACGAAATACTTATACATCATGATTAGCATCAGCTAGTCACATGAAGTATTATTTTCGCATATCACTATAGTTTTTAGTAACGAACATTCATTGTTTTATACAGAATTGAAAACACTACATTTTCACTAAAGAAAATATCGGATTTTCTTGAAATTATACGAACACCTTTACGAGCTCATCAACAAGTTTTCATTGCAAAATACCGCTTATGAACGCATCAGCTTTATGCTGATATTTTAAAACTGCTTGTATTATCAGGAAATCAGTAGACAGGTACTTGTTGGATTTTTGAGAAGCTGGAGCAATAAGAGTTTTATGTTTATAATTTACAAAGCTATTTGATGTAATTCAAACAAGTTTCAGACAAGGTTTCAAACTGATGTAAACATTTTTATTTAAGTATTCACTATAATGGTTGTGTTGCTATGATTGCTATTATTCATTGGTTGTGATGCTACACATGACGTCATCCACCCCAGAACGTTTCCGCCATTCTGGTTTTGGGGTGTGACATTTTTAGGTTTTACACCCTATTTAAAGGACCTTAAGTCCTTACCTCTAGTCCCTTACCACCTCTTGACGGCCATAAGAAACCCTAATCAGTCTAGATCTTGTTCGTGAGTGTTTGTGAGATTTAAAGAGTGATTTGGTGCATTTTGTGAAGAAGTTTTGGAGCTTAAGGAGCTTGGAGCAAAGAAGAGCTTGTGAATCTGACTCTATCTCATTTTGGCATCATTTGGAAGGTAACAAGTCGTTACCTTGACTTCTCCATAGCTAGATCTCTCCATGCTTAAGTTTAGGGCTATTTTTAGCATATATGTGAGCCATTTCGGGTATTAGCCATGATCGGAAGTTGCAACTTCAGATCTGGACTCCTCCAGGTCTCAAACTCATAAAGCTATCAACTTTATCTCGTATGAACCTCTCACCATGCCCTAAACCTCATTCTAGACTTGGTTTTTAGTGTTCTAAGCCTTTAAGACCTTGCATGCACGTAAAGTTTGCAACTTTACTTGGAATTTGTGCCTTAGGAAGCTGGATCTACGATTTGGAGCTTTCGGGTAGTTTAAAAACGTCTAAATGGGAAATGGACTGAAGGGACTCGACGAGTTGCATGGTCAACTCGGCGAGTCCGATGAAGATTAGCCGTTGTGGATTTCTGCATGAACTCGGCGAGTCAGCAAGACGAGTCGACGAGTCAGTTAGGGTTTTCCCGAATTTTGGACACGTATGGACTTGACGAGTTGCCTGGGAACTCGGCGAGTCAACAAGGATCTTCACAATTTCTCGAGTTCTGGAAGCACTCGACGAGTTGGGTCAACATGGACTGTTGACCTTGACCGTTGACTTTGACTTTGACCAAGGGTTGACCAGTTTGACTTATGGGGGTATTTTGGTAATTTGGGAACTTATGGAATTAGATCATTGGTTGATGTAGGTGTTGGTGTTGGAGCTGTATTTGGAGGAGATTGATACTATCATTCCGAGCTACTTGAGAGGTGAATTCTCCTCACTATATCAACAGGGTCTAAGGCACCAATGTCGGCCCTTTTCGGATTTGTATCCGGGTTATTGCACGATATGCTTATTGATTTACATCCTGGTAGTTAGGATGGTGATATGCTTAGTGACCTAGTTAGGTCGGTATCCTGGTAAATAGGATGATGCTATGTTAGTGACCGGTTAGGTCTGTATCCTGGTTATAGGATGTTGCTATGATTGGTGATCTGTTAGATCGGTTTGACTGTATATATATATATATATATATATATATATATGCTAGTTTATGATATTTATGTACACATGATTGTTTGATTGGGGGTTGGGTTGAGGCGGTCCTGCTTTGTGTTGAAGGCCAACATACCCAGGGCGGTCCGGATAGACTGAAGGCCCTGCGAGGCAGTCCTGTCAGGCCGAAGGCCCGACGAGCAGTCCGGATAGGTTGTAGGCCCTGCGAGGCGGTCCAGACGTGCCGAAGGCACGAAGAGCAGTCCAGATAGACTGGTGGCCTGCGAGGCGGTCCAGTCAGGCTGAAGGCTCATTATGCATGCTGTTTGCTTATATGTTATTGATATGTTTTATGACGTTGGTATTTTGGAGGTAACTCACTAAGCCTTTTAGCTTACATATATCGATTATTGTTTTAGGTACTTCTGATGATCGCGGGAAGGCGAAGACGTGATCGTACACCTCCTTATGTTTTCATGCTTTGATTATGGGATACTTTGACATTATACTATTTTGAAAACAAGTTTTGTAATAATCATTGGTTTTGAAATGTTTTAAAGAGTTTAAATTTGACATGATTTTTATGGATGTTACATGTGGCCTCTCGTGGTGCAGACCATAATAGCCAACACTCATGCTGGTAAGTAAGCATAACGCCACCTCTAGGGTAATGTGTACGGTCATGGTGAGATACCAACATGGCTACAAATGCCTCTCGTGACCGGAATACCCTTAGGCCTAATATTGAACAAAAACACTTTGTTAAGTGGTTAACTGTGTAACAATTTATCTAATTTTGGTTATTTTTCGACTTTTATAAAAGAATTCCAAATTTTATTATTAAACTTGTTTTTACAATATTATATGATTGTCTTTTTGTTATATTATTGAAGGTATTGATAACCTAAAAAAGATAGGTCTAGTGGTGTAAAGGATGACCAAATAACATAAAAAGATTAAGAAGAAGGCTATAAATGTCAAAAGAAGGAAAGTTGGTGGCATACATAATAAGAAAAAAAAAAAGGTATAAATGGCCAAATTAGAGTAAATCAAGTTAGAGAGATATTCTTCAAATATGTCTGCTTAAGCTTTTTGGAAACAAACACTAAGATTTCTCTTTTTTAAGTATTTCATAATTGAAATGGGATATCTACTCTAATAAATAAAAATTATTTGGGTTTAGGTCATTTTTGATCATTTAATTTTTGGTTTTGTACTCATTTGGTCACTTAACTCTTTTTAAGTTTTAGAAGGTCATCAAACTTTTGGATTTGTGCTCATTTAGTCACTTAATTTTTGGTTTGGTCACATTTAGTCACCTAACTTTTAAAATTATACTCATTTAGTCACTAAACTTTTAAATTTTTTCAAAAGTTTAGTGACTAAATGAACACAATTTTAGAAGTTATGTGACTAAATGAGCACAAATCTAAAAGTTAAGTGACCAAACCAAAAGTTAAGTGACTAAATGAACATAAAGTCAAAAGTTTGATGACCTTTTAAAACTTAAAAAGAGTTAAGTGACCAAAGGAGCACAAAACCAAAAGTTAAGTAACCAAAAATGACCTAAACCCAAGTTATTTCTGTCACTTGTCATTCTCTAATGTATTATGCAACATGTCATTTTGAGGTAATTTTAAATTAAATTATATTCATGTCATTTTGTGGTTTTTTACTATTTTAATAAATTTCATATAATATTTAAATGTAATAAATGTAATAATAAATGCAACTTTCTTTATAATTTCTAAATTTCTAAATTGAATCAAATTATTTTAATTGTTTATTTATTTTATTATTTGTTTAAATTTAAAAGAAAAATGAACCCTTCAATTTTAATAGTTAAATAATTTTTTCTCTTTTTTTATAAATTCAAACTTTCTAAATTTTTAGATCTCCATAATTATTTTTATTTTTTTGAATAAACTCATTTATACATGAGTTTCACAACTAGTAAATATAAATGTTAGTTGTTTTTTTTCGGTGGAAGAGTCACAAAAACCACCTCCCTAAATAGATGAGCACATGATGTTTCGTAGCAACAATTTTCGTATTTCTAAAAATACAAACAACTAGGGCATTGACTTCTTCTTTATCCTTTAACCCATAATATTAAATATTAAAAAAACTGATAAAGCATATAATAATCAAAAATATAAATGTATTAATGGTGTATAGAAAATATATAATAAGCAACAATATAAATGAAGTAAAAATATATGTAAAACATACATATAAATGAAGTAAAAATATATATAGAACATATAATAAATAAAAATATGAATAAAGTATATATAAACTAATTTTTAACATGGATTCCACATCAGTAACATGCAAATGCCAACTAAGCGTCGCATAAGGTTTAACCGAATAACAATGCTATTACAGGTCATGCTGGTATAACTTAAACACAGAATCCAGGTAAAATCACTTGTCTCTATTCAACAAAACTGATAACATATTGTCAAAACATCTATGACCTATTTATACTCACATTTTTCATTAACTAAAGAAGAATATATTGGAAATACAAAAATACACAACTTCACTTTTTTAATAGCAAGTGTCAAACATTTGATCCTCTATTTCTGTATGAACCAATGGAAGTGTTCTAACAACCCATTCGACCATTTCACAAGTCTTTTCACTAAGAGAACGAGTGAAGTCTCCTTTATAAAACACACACATTTCTCCCCCAATCGAAATCCAACTACATCCAGGAGTTTTACCCAATCTCAACCTTCTCATTTTTAATCTAACCCTCGAAGCATCACTCCACATGCCACAAGAATCATACAAGCTACACAAAGCAGTATAATTACTAGCATTCTTGGGTTCCATTTCAAAGAGATGATAAGCTGCCATTTCACCAATCTCAATATTTCTATGCACCAAAGAACCAGCCAGAAGTGCACCCCATACACTTGCTGGTGGCACCATTATCATACTTTCTATCAACCCTACTGCCTCCTTGAAGCACCCAACACGACTCAAAAGATCCACTAAACAAGCATAATGCTCTACACTAGGTTCAAAACCATATAAAGATCTTATAGAATTAAAAATCTTTTTGCCTTGATGTATGAGACCCGAGTGGCTACAACTAGCTAGGATTGCAGTGAGTGTGACATTGTTTGGTTTAAATCCAGATTCTTTCATCTTCTCAAATAAACATAGAGCTTGTTCTCCATTTCCATGAAGTCCATAGCAAGATATCATTGTTGTCCATGTCACTAAATTGGGATTTTTCATGTTATGAAAAATCCTTTCAGAATCACACAAGCAGCCACATTTGGAATAGAAATTGATCAATGAGTTTCCAATAGCAGTATCATTGTAAAGATTTGCATTCTTTAACACTTGCCCATGAACTTCTTTACCTTTTGTAATGTCGCCTAATTTCCCACAAGTGTTTAAAAGGGTTGGAATTGTCATGGAGTCCATCTTCATTCTGTTTTCAAGCATGTTTCTGAAACAATCTAGAGATTCCAGTAGCAAACCAGCCTTTGAAAGCCCTGAAATCATTGAATTCCATGAAACCGAGTCTTTCAATGGCAACCCTTTAAAAATCAATTTCGCATCTTTTAAATTCCCACACTTGGAGTAAAAATCCAAAATGGAACTCCCCACAACAAGGTAATTTTCGAAACCAAGTTTAACCACCATACCATGCAAAATCAGACCAAGTGAAACATCGCCAATACATGTACAGGCCTTCAGTACCGGAGGTAATGAGTAGTGGTCCGGTGTCATACCTGAGTCTAAGAACTCCTGGAAGACACTAAAAGCGTTATCGTGCATAGAATTTTGAACGTAAGCTGAAATCATGATGTTCCAAGAATGCATGTTTCTTTGGAGCATTCTGTCGAACAGCTTGCGGGCGTTTGGTAGAGACGCTCTAGAATAAGCCAACAAGAGATCTGTTTGGAACGTGACATCGTGACAGAGATCATGGATGAGTATTTGTACATGGGTTTGTTTAGCGTGAGCGAATACTGTGCGAGGAATGCTGTTTCGCAAGATAGAACTCAAGCTTCCCATTGTGTATGACATTTTTTTGGATGTATGCAACTGCTAATTTGCTGATTTCTGCTTCATTTTGGATCCTTTTGTTGATTGCGTTTGTTTAATTTGGCCACTAGAGAATAATTTGGGGGGTGTTTGGATAGGGAAAAAAATAGGCTGCTTATTGCTTATCGCTTAATCCCACAGCAATAAACAAATTTAAGTGTTTGGATAGGAGTCTTTAAAAATCAACTTATTGCGGTATGAATAAGCAAAATAAGCTGATTTTAATAAGCAAGGGGGGAATGCTTATTGCTTATTGGTCATTTTATTCATATAAGCTGTTTTATTTTGCCAAACACTTAAATGCTTATTGCTTATTACTTATTCTCACCGCAATAAACTAATCCAAACACATTTTAAAAAAATGTTTATTCTCAACACAATAATCAAATAAGCAATAAGCTAATAAGCTAAAAATTATTTATCCAAACACCCCTAGTGTCTAAAAACTATTTATCCAAACACCCTTAGTGTCATCGTTTAATGTTTCGATTGAATTGATGGATGAGTTTCTTTTATCTCAACTCGATAACGTACGCAAGTCAATTTAACTGATGATTAATATTTTTGTGAAAATTAATTCAGATGGGCCTGTTACTTATGAGAACGATAGGCCCATTGGCCTTAAACAAGAGAAAGCCCAAATCATGTCAAAATTGGGCCTTTACCACTATAATATCACTTGATCCCTTCGCTTTCCTTTCTTCTCCGCCTACATTTGCATCTATCAGGGTTTCAAGCCAACCAACCAGTGCGGCAGCAGCAGCAGCAGCGAACGCCACATCTCCGTCACCATGGGTCGTATGCACAGCGGCGGGTAATCTTTGTTCCTTCAAATCTACTGTTGTATATATGCATTTGGTAGTTGTTCAAGTCTATAGATTTACTCCTGGAATTGGAAATGCATATTATATTATCTTTTCTGCCCTCGAAGCACGCTTGGTTTTGAGTTTTTAGTGTGAATCAAGTTATTGTAAAGGTTAAATTACTTTCGTTTACGTTTTCTATCAATGATATCGAACATTTTGCAGTCGTCTCTGAATTTGAATAGTAATTGAAGTGCTATCTATTGAGTTTTAGGTTATATAGATATTGTAGAATCATGAATGTATATTGATTTTTGAGTGTAAGGTTCATTAACTTGATATTCGATTTAATTTTTTTGTTTGGTGAACAGAAAGGGTATTTCAGCCTCAGCTAAGCCATACAAGAGAACTCCACCAAGCTGGCTCAAGATCTCTCCTCAGGATGTATGTTATGTTTTTAATGTTCATTGTTCAAAGTTCATATTACTTATTTGCCTGTAGCTCTATTACCATGATATCAATTATTCAGCTTCTTTTAATTTGGATCGATTGAAGATGTTTTTGTTGTGCATTTCAACAACTTCAACATATCTTTTGTGATTGGTGTAACTTAGTAACCTATTTGAGAGCTCTTGATTTTATAAGTTCCAAATCTGATTACAACTCTTTGCTTAATAATTCTTCAGGTTCAAGACAGTATCTGTAAGTTTGCAAAGAAGGGTCTAACCCCATCACAGATTGGTGTTATCCTTCGTGATTCTCATGGAATTGCACAAGTGAACAGTGTAACTGGGAGTAAGATTCTCAGGATTCTCAAGGCACATGGTATGCGCATTCTCTTAATCTCATCCTTATTGTGTTTTTTAATATGTTTTGTTTATTAATATTTGATGACATGGCAGGGCTTGCTCCTGAAATCCCAGAGGATTTATACCATTTGATCAAGAAGGCAGTTGCTATCAGAAAGCATTTGGAGAGGAACAGGAAGGACAAGGATTCTAAATTCAGGTTGATTCTTGTTGAGAGCAGGATTCACAGACTTGCTCGTTACTACAAGAAGACCAAGAAGCTTCCACCTGTCTGGAAATAGTATGTTCCCAAATTTCTATTTTCAATTTTATTTTATTACTTTCCTCCATCATTGATGCACATATGTTTTCTATGTCTCTAAGTTGGATAGTTTTCTCCTTAAGTCCCATAATTTTGTTTGTTTTTATAAGGGTTAATGTCGTTGTACTAAAAATTCTCTCCTTGGATATTCCTATAGTTATGTTGATTGTGGTACTAATATTGTTTTCTTGTTGTTGCAGTGAGTCAACCACAGCTAGCACCCTTGTGGCATAGGGAAGTGGTTTTGGGAATCGAATTTTGAGTTTTAAAAGCGATGTTTTTGTTGGGAACATTCTGCTTATCTTTGTTATAACTAAGGATGTTTGGACCATGAAAAGATTTTGATTGAAGAACTTACTAAGAACGTAGTATCAATTTTAAAGCACTTTGTCATTCATGTTTGTTTATCTGTTGTGGTTGTTTAATGTTAGAATATGGCTATCTATCTCAACTAAATCATCATAATCTTTTGTGGTTGATAATATGTTCTAGAAAAAACATGTTGACACTGATATTCTTGCAATCATGATTGAGTTTTAATTTCATTTGTCTATGATTCTTTAATCTTTTGATTTTATACATGAAAAACTACGTACAAGTATATATAAAAGAAAAATTATTGTTAAAAGAGAAAAATCCGTGTACCAATCATTTTTCCATTTAAAATTATATTATATGAATGGCATATGCTTTTAAGGCTACCTGGAGTGGTATAAGGAAGACGTGTGAGAGGCTGATGTGGAGCCACCGAAAACGCGTGAACACCGCCCCCAGGGCCGGTGCTCTGGCTGTCGCGTGATTGCGAAGACGGATGGAGACGGGTTATTTGATTGGGCATCTCATTTTGACCGTTGAGGGGAGAGGGGTTGGGACATTTCCGATCGCTTAAGATTTAAAAAAAAAATTATTCAATTTTTAATAAATTTCTCTCTCTATATATACATTTCAAACACACACCCACACACACTCATTCAACACAAACACACATTCAACAAAAAAACTTTTTCTACGTATATTTTTATGGATCCAAATCAAAGTATCACACTCACCCCAAACACTCCAAATGATCCATTAGTAAATCTTAGTTACATGCAATTGATAACATCTTCAATCCAACAACAATCTTTATTCACCAATCTTTCATACCACCCACACCACTACCAACAACAACCACCACAATTCAATCAATCCCAATTTCAAGTCTTTCAACGACCTTCTCCGCAATTTCAACTCCAAAGTTCTCAACGTCAACAACCTTCACAACTATCTCAAGTTCCATTATCTCAATCTCAACCTATAAACCTTGACAACGACGACGAACGGGTTGAAGAAACACAACCAAGTCGTAGAAGGCAAAAAAAATCAAAAGATCCAAGGAAAAAGAAAAGTACGCAATGGACCGAAGAGGAGGAGGAAACTTTAGCTACAACATGGATTTCATATCACAAGACAGGGATGTCGGCAACGCGCAAACGAGTCAAAGTTTTTGGAATCATGTTTTAGACCACTTCCACGCGTTAATAGGAAGGCAAACGAATCGGCCATACGACTCGGTTAATGCAAAATGGCATGGCCTTCGAGCGACTTGCACCAAACTTAACGATGTATTTGACAATCTTAAAAATATGCATAGAAGTGGTAGCAACGATATCAACATTTTGTCAACCGCATTGTACCAATACAAAATTACCAACAATGGTAAACCAATCGTCAACCAAAAAACGTGAGAAGTTTGTCGTAATGGTCCAAAATGGGTCCTTTATCCGGATACGACGCATTCAGGATCTACCACCGGCTCCAACAAAAGGGCAATAATGTCCGAGTCGGACATTGGTGTTAGTCTCGACCTCAATGATGAGTCCGACGCCACCGAGGGGGAGGGTCCACCGGACGTCCAACTCGTCGACCATCGGGAAGGGACAAAGCGAGAAACGGGACATCTTTAAGCGGAAAATCAACCAACGAGGACATACCAGCGGAGAAAATAAACAAAACTCTAAGGTTGTGTTTAGTTACGGAAAAACAATTTTCATTTTCCGTTTTTGATTTTCCCTTTTCAGTTATCGTTTTCCGTTTTCAGTTTTCATTGGAAAATTTAGAAAACGCGTTTAGTTAAAACTTATTCATTTTTCATTTTCAGTTTTAGAAAATTAGAAAACGCGTTTAGATGTGTATATTTCTATCGATTTTCATTTTTAGAAAACGGTAACGGTGGTAAGGTGGGTGTGGGGGCAGTGGTGGTGTTGATGATGGTGACGGTGGTGGTGGTGGTGGCGGCGGTGGTGATGACAGGCATTGGTGGTGGCGGCATCGGCGGCGGTGGTGATGCTGGTGATGGGGTAGTGGTGGTGGTGGTAGTGATGATGATGGTAGGTCGGTGATTATGGTAGTGGTGTTGGGTTTGTGTGGGTGTTTGTGTGTGTGTGCGTGTGTGTTTGTGTGTGTGTGTGTGTGTGTTTATGGGGGTGGGTGTGGGTGTTTGTTTGTGTCTGTGTGTGGGTGGGTGTGTGTGTGTGTGTGTTTGTGGGGGTGTAGGTGTGGGTGTGTATGTGTGTGTGTGTGTGTGTTTGTGGGGGTGTAGGTGTGAGTTAGGGTTGGGGTGGGTGGGGGTTGGGGTGAGCGTCTGTTTATGGGTATGTGTGTGTGTGTATTTGTGGGGGTGGGGGTGGGTGTGTGTGTATTTGTGGTTATGTGTGTGTATGGGGGTGTGGGTGGGGGTTGGGGTAGGTGTGTGTGTGTGTGTGTGTTTGTGGGGGTGGGCTTGGGAGTGGGTGGGTGTGGGTAGGTAGAGGTGTGATGAGTTGGGGGTGTTAAGGTGGGGGTACGTAGAGGTGAGAGTGAGTGTGTGTTTATATTTTAGAAAAATTTTAGAATTAGAAAAATGTGGAAAACAATAATTATTGGGTTTCCAAAAATTTGCAACTTCTTTGTAATTTTAGAAAACGGAAAATTTTCATTTTCCGTGAAAAATTTAGAAAAATAGACGAACTAAACGCGTTTTCAAAATTCTCATTTTTCTTGGTAAATTTTTCCGGAAAACGGCCCATTTTTCCGCAACTAAACGCACCTTAAGTTTTTTAGAAAGAAAATTTGAATCAACGGAGCAAGCTCGTTGGCGAAAAATGACATTCATTGATCTTCAAATTTTAAACACTGTGCCGCAACCGAATCTTGACATGAAAAATTTAAGGGCGTTCTTAAAAATTCAACAAGAAGTTTTCGACAAATATTGCAACTAGATTCTATGTTTTTTATGTTTTTTTTTTGTAATTTAGGTTTAATTTTCTATTTTTTTTATGTTTTTTTAGCAATTTAGGTTTAATTTTCTATGTTTCTTTTATGTTTTTTTAGTAATTTAGGTTTAATTTTTTATGTTTTTATGTTTTTTTTAGTAATTTCGCTTTAATTTTCTATTTTTTAGGTTTAATTTTCTATGTTTTTTAATTAATGTAATGTGGTTTCAATTAATGTAAAATATTTTATAATGTTTTTATTTAATTTAATCATAAAAAAAATTGTGGATTGGTAACCATTTCCAATGTCTAGTGGGTTGGTGATGAAACTGACGTGGCATAGAAATGACAATGCTTTTTCAGTGGGTTGGTAGTGACCACTCTCCATAGCTTAATATAACTTCATATAATTTTGCATAGTAATGTGATGAATTATTTAATAAATATTTGTTATTAGTTTGTGAAAACCTATCGACAAACGGAGGCATTTTCGTACTGCAAACAATTTAGGATTCTACATCCTCATAGGTCATAGCATCCCAATTATTCTACAGCTAAATAGAGTATTATTAAACATCTTAGGTTTTTTTTTTTTTTTTTTTAATGGGTTAAATGGTAATGTACTGATTACACTTTTCATTCACTTCAAAGACATAATGTTTTGTATGCATTGGTTACACTCCAGAGAAACATCATTATTGTATGTATTTGAATGAAGCATGAACTACCGCTTATATCCGTTTAATCCCTATCCAAGCCTATATCAACTTCAACTTGACATCATCTCAATACTAAGTAGTCAAAATTTAAGAACATACATCCAAAATGCAGGAAAAGGGATAACATCCAAAACTATTATGTTCTATTTAACTCAAAATCAAATATAAGAGCATAGATACAAATGCATGAAAGAAACAACATTTACATGCATCATAAGGGTACACAAAATTTAAATTCATCTGATGATTTCAACAAAACCAAATAGTCAAACTTGAATCAAGAAACTTATTACATCCTTTATTTGAACCCAAACTTAGATCAAGAAACTCATAACATCCAAACTATTGTGTTCTACTTCTATTTATTTAAATTCCATAAAATAATACAACTCCCACTACAAGCACATATTCTTAGTTTCTCTTTGGTACAAATCACAAAAATCGTGGGATTTCTTTCTTTTTCAGGCCTCCTCATCATCATTACAATATATGAAAACAAAGATCACGAAAACATAAACAGAAATAATCATGTGAACACCAAAAAACAAAAACAAGAATCTGAGAATAATTACCACATGACATGAGCTTCAATTTCTCAATGACTGTTCTTCTTCCCAGAACCATAGTAACTAACATACCATCTCACAAATTTCTTCAAACCCGTTTGAAGATCAGTCGTTGGTTTATAACCAAATTCCCTTTCAGCAAAACTAATATTCGCATGTGTAAACTGAACATCACCATTTCTAGGCAACTTCATCACCATTCTCTTCGCTTTCACTTTCAATAATTTCTCCAAAATGCTCACAAGATCCGATACAGGAACAGGTGACGTATTCCCCAAGTTGAAAACCCTCAATTGCGCAGGTCCTTTCTTCTTCCCTCCACTTCCTGTACTTTTTTCCGCAGTATCTAACGCACCCAAACAACCCTTTACAATATCGTCGATGTAAGTAAAATCACGCGCCACAGTTCCATGATTTGAAGCTTCAAAGATTGGAATCGATTTCCCTTTTAAGATATCTCGAGTGAAAAAGAAATACGCCATGTCTGGTCTTCCCCAAGGTCCGTAAACAGTGAAGAATCTTAAACCAGTTAACGATAAACCATATATGTGATTGTAAGTGTGTGCGATTTCTTCGCCTGCTTTTTTTGTAGCGGCGTATAAGCTTGCTGGTTGATCGGTTCGATCTTTTTCCGAAAAGGGTACTTTGCTGTTTAATCCGTAAACAGAACTAGATGATGCCCAAACTATAGCAGGTTGTGGATTAGCGTTTTTACAGACTTCGAGAAGATTAACAAGGCCAGCGATGTTACTATGAACATAAGAATTTGGGTTTTCCATGGCGTATCGAACACCAGCTTGAGCTGCTAAATGCATTACGTGAGTGAAAGGGTTTACCTCGAAGAGTTTTTGGAGCAATGCGATGTCGTTAATGTCACCTTCGACGATGTAAATCCCACTTCTTTCGAGTAAGGCTTGGCGAGCCCTCTTGAGTGTTGGGTCGTAGTAGTTGTTGAAATTATCAAGACCTAAAACGCCGTCTCCACGGCGTTTCAAGGCGGCGCTGACGTGGGTACCGACGAATCCGGCAGCTCCAGTTACCAATACCGATAACCCATTTTGGGATCGGATCCGGGCAGATGATCTGACCCGTTTTTCCCACGCGGGTCCACCCCACGAACTGGTTTTTAAAGATCTGCGAGAGAGATCTGATGGCATTGAGTTTGGTGGTGATGTGGATGGTGATTTGAAGAAGAAGACGACGATTAATCCGAGGAAAACAAAGCTCCAAAATGTGAGTTTTGCTAGAGATGAATAGTGTCTGAATCTATGAATGTATGGGGATTTATCCATCTTGAATTTCCCAGGTGTCGATGGGATGTTATCCATATGAGATGAAGATAACTTCATAATCATTCAAATTCTTGCCTGATTTTCGTGGAATGTGATTAGGGTTGAAGCAGCATCCAGTTTTCTTCTCAAGAAATCGATGGTGGAGCTATGCAATTGATGAAGATAAAGAAGAACAAAGGAATGGTTCTCTGTGTTGGTGAATGGTGATAGTCTTCCTCCCACTTTATTTTTCTTGTTGTTTTATGGGGGAATGAGGAATCTTCTGGTTTCTTGAGCGATTGATTGTTTACTTTTGTGGGTTTTCTTTGGTTCTACAGGAATTGAGAATGATTGCAAAAAATGGGCGATGGCTGATGAGAGAGAGAGAGAGAGAGAGTGGAGTAAGAAAGGGAGAGAAGAATTGAGTTGGAAGGATCTTGAATGTTAATGGAGATTTAGGGTGGACTAATTACAGCTTGTCGAAGTCAAATAGGTTAAGTGTAATCAAGGCTTTTATTTGGAAGAAATACGTTCATAAGATAATATATTTTTTAGGGTTTTTAATTGTGAAATGAGGCCATGGAATTCAGCCAATTCCTTAATTTGACAACATGTGTTCATATGGGGATTTGAAATACGGGTGGGAATGGGATTTATTGGGAGATGGAGTGGATGAGATCTTGATGCTAATTGTAAGGAGGGTTTTTAGTTTCTACACCTTTGGATCGTGTGTGAGATCTATGGGGGCTTGCAAGCTATTAATCTCAATAAATTTTTACAACTATTTAAGAACCGATACACTTATGTTTATATTATTTAGAAGGTCAATTAATTGATATAATTCCATGGCAAAATATTAACCATTGATCAACTTATAGGCTTTAGCACTTGCATAAAGTGCAAGTGCATTTATAAAAACATCAAACGGCTAATGGACAAATGACACCTAAGTTGATGACAAAAAATTGATAATCTTAAGTAGGGGAGTTTTGATCTTTGCGAGATACAAGACGTCGGTTTTTTTTAATATAAATAAAGGTAAATGATATAAAAATATACTCATAGGGTTTGATAGTGAATGTTTTTATAGTTTTTAATTTTAAAAAACTAGATTTAAACAAAAAAAAAATTATGTTTGAGAGTATGTGCGTTTAACTTTTAATTTAAACAAAAAGTTTTATATTTAAAAGTTAATTCATCTAACGTTTTAAAAAAACTATTAAGATTTTTAAACAATTTCTAGAATTGTCATTAAAAATATGTTATGTATTTACTTTTATAAACAATTGTCATTTTATGTTCTTTTGGTCAAAAATATGCAAAACAAGAATCAACCAAATTAGTAAGAGCCACAGTGTTATACTCATAATTATATTCAAGATTCTGAGGTCCAAGACACAAGAATTACGAGGAAAACCCTTGATCTCGATTCTCGAATGAGATCGCCAACACAAAACCTCCCGAACTGGAAATATCCTGGTTGCCTTAATATTTTATTAAGTAATTTGTTACAGACTACAAGTATACGAGAGTGTTCGTGTGTGATTTTTGTAAACATAGCTGCTAATTTATACATAGGATTGCCAACGGCTATAAATAAAATCCCAAGAATCTCGACATAATCTTATAATCTGAAATTATTGTTGAATGGGTCTCCGTTATCCCATAATTCTTGAGGACCATATCTTTTCTCCACATTTTCTTCATTAATACCGATTTGACCGGGTCTATCTTGACATATTCAAGACCTAGAACAAAGAGATAAACCAAACAAAGAGCAAACGTGAGGGTTAATAATCTCTGGAATCTTGATCAAGACGTTGGTCAAGATCCTGGCTAGCATGCTACTTCGAATCTTGCACAAGATTCCGGTCATAATTTTCACCCATAACAATTGCCATTACAATCTGGATTTAAGAATAAAGTCATATTTTAAACAAATAACATATATATTTTTTAATTAAATATGATTTTTTTAAATTAAATTAAATTTGAATTTCAAAAATATGGCTGGTGGGATATGGATAAGACACATCACTTATCTCTATATCAAAACACCATTGTTTTTGCAATTGTATTCCCGAGATTCGTCATCATCGCGCGCTATAAATTTAGGTAACAATTCCTCGTAGGAAAGCCTTCTTCATTTTAGCTGTAGTAATGTATTTTCCCGCAGGTGTGTCTTCCTTGACCCTTTTCCTTTTATTTCTTTGCGAGAATGTCGAAAAAGAGTATCTCTTCCAAAATTAAGATCGTCGATGATTTCATCGATCAAGGTTGTCTCTAAAAACCTGAGGATGAAGTTTTGACTTTCTCCGATCATGACACTGCTTAGCTTAAGTCAAACAAATTCTTTCTACCTTCTATTATCTTTAGGGATTTTGACCCTCGTTTGAGATCTGATTCACTCTCACCTTCATGGGTTTGCTTCCCCGAGTATCACTTCGCTATAAGCTTAGAATTCCCCTTTCCTACTTTGGTTTCTGAGTATTTTAGGGTTTCCGACATTTCATACACTCATGCAATGCCAGTAGTCTGGAGGATTCTTACATGCGTTGAGTTTCTCAATCGTTCAAAGTGTAACGCCCGCGTTTCTCGCTAGGCATTAATGATAAGAGATGTAATTACGTCGGTCGACGATTGTAAATTTTATGAATAAATGAAAAAAGACTTATTTCAATATATATACATATATATGGTATGTGTGTGTGTGATTTATACGTATATACCGTTTTACATAATAAATTAACAAATAGGGCTAAAATAAACATTTAAAAAATTAATATTAATTAAGATAAATAGCTTTGATGAAAGTTGAAGTAGTCATGATGATGATCTCGGGGATATAAGGAACGCTACAATCTGACTCCGTATGAAGAAGTTATGCTTCGTTGAAGTTTCGCGTTCAACCCTATACGAAAAAGTGTGTCGTAAATAGCGAATCAAAGATTGGTCGTTTATTAGCATGAGTAATCTAAACGAAAGTCGTAGTAATCGTAAAACCGATAGTGTGCATATAGAGAACGTCCAAATCTGACTTTGTATGAGGAAGTTATGATTTTTCAAAGTTTCAGCATAGTTGTGTTAGCACATAAATCGAAATTTAAATCGGTTTATTGTTATCCGAAACAATCTAAACGAGAATCGAAGATCTTGTGAATAGGATTCCGACGATATAAAGACAGTCGATAACGGATGTCGTAAGAACAAGTTATGATTTTTACACGGACTTTAATAGTCTAAGTCTGTTAAAAATAAAGTGAGAATTAGCTGACAGAGTCTAAATGAAAGTTGTAGTACTCGTTGATAGCTATGCGTGGATATAAAGAACGTAAAAAAACGAAGCTCGTATGAGAAATATATGATTTTATGAAGTTTTTCGAAAAGCGCCACACGCAGGTGGGCGCGTCACGCGATTCTAAAATGCACATGCGTGACCCACATAATTTTCGACACGTGTCACAAGACATGAGGAATGGATTGGCTGGAGGGCGCGGCGTGCACCTCTAAAGGCACGGCGAGGCTGGTCGAAATTCAACCTATAAATCCCCTTCAGCCCCATTCTTCCCTCGCACATTCACTAAACTCTCTCTGAACTTATTAAGCCCGATTTTGAAGTCGTTATTTGAGATTTCGGAGTATCTTAGATTAGAAAAAGTATGGGTATCTATGCTCAACAAGTAGAAGATCTCGAGTCGGAGTTCTATCAGTGCAATTTTCGACTTTTTGCTAGAAAATCTCTGTAAGTTAAGCTGCACTTATCTTAATTCAAGTGTCACTTATATTTATATTCATAATCTTTATTATGAATCTATAAATAATATTTATCAGTGATTCCATGTCATAATACTGATTGATCTATTTATGGGGTGATGTCTAGGCTAAATTTAGTGAGGTGTTTAAAGTGAGATTTCCAAACAGTATACTCTGTATACCAAACGGACCCTACCTCCGATATGATCTTACATGGTTGCTCCTTATCAGTTATAGATCAATATACATTGGGATTATTGAGGAATCTAGACTATCATTAGTCACAAAGAAATAATACTAAGACTTAGTAATAATAATACCTAGGTCACATCAAAGGAAAAGCTAAGGTGTTAGGCGAAGCTCTGCCCAAATCACCACTCATCCACTTTAACAAGTGAGTGCATAGTTACTTTCATCTTACACATAGATATAAAGTATCTAGATGATTAAATGCTATATGTGCTTATTATATCTATTTCTTGATATCCATGTTAGATGAAATAAATGATTTTACTTGACTCAATTGTATATGTATTTTTATATGTAAAATATATTGGGTAGTAATGGGTGATGAAAGATGAATTGATGATGAGAGGCCGTGACTGTTATAGTACTAGTGTACTGATGAACCAACCATCTAGCAAAGTATAGATGACGACCATACACTATTCTAGACAGTCTGATGGAACGTTGTCAAGCTCGCAACCAGTAGGTGTTAATGAACTATATGTTCATTCGATGTACTATATCCCCCGATGGTTGCCTTATTAACATGTATTGCTAAAGGAATTCCCAACACAGTATTGTCTACTCGTTGCTTACGATGATCCTTAGGGTAGATCCCTTGAGATCAATATTTTAGGATCATAGAGTGAGAATAACGGGAAATCGGTAATCGAGTGAATTATTTGATGTGAAATATATAATTATCATGGGTTTGAAAACCCTATGTACTCACCAAGCTCCCAAGCCTGACCCACTTAGTTTCTTTGCATTACATGTAGCAATACGAAAGCTCATGGATGGTGAGAGATTTGAGGAGTCTGTAGGCTATTAGTATGAATAAATGTTATAAGGCTTGTATGAATAACTTATGCTTATGATGTCTGTATCGATGATGACATCCCAAGAATTTATATATTAATGTGAAATGTTTTATCAGAAATACTCTATTTAAATGTTTTAGGAACAAATTCCGCAATAAAAAGTATACTCTGAATTAAATAAGCATAAAGAAAAAGTTTTAAATTGGCCGTAAAAATAGGGATGTCACACAAAGAATTTGAATTTGGGGCTTCCTGAGATTGCCTCAGTGTATAAGTTGC